ATATATATAGACAAGGTAGCATTTTTCAGACCAACAGGTGCCTTCGGCGGTGCAGTGCCAAGTGATCTGAACGGGAAAAGCTTCGGTCACAGTCTGCACACTTGAACGGCTTCACTCCCGTGTGTTTGCGGTAGTGCCTTGTCAGTTCATCTGAGCGAGCAAATTTCCACGTGCAGCCTTCCCAGGTGCATTTGTATGGTTTCTCTCCTAGGGGAGGGAGCGAAAGAGAGAAAGAGGAATTAATGACTGCGCTGGACTCGAAACGGTGGGTAGGTTGTCCAGAACATCCAGTGCTATCCGAGAAATGCAGGGTTGCACAGAGTTTATTTAGTTATTCATTAAGGGACGATATGGCCAGCCATCTTGTGAGCCATAACTCTGGATGGCTCACAGCAGCAGTGATAAGAACATAAAAGCAGTGAAATCTAACATCCAACCCCCAAAGTCCCAGCGCCCTAAAACAACACTCCTCAATACCTTAAAAAACCCCATGATCACCAGGCTCCAGCCTCACCCTATCCCAACACCTGGGGGTTATAGTTCAACTGCCTTCCACATTTGGATTTCTGTTGCTACGTCTCTGCTGTCAAGGTCAAAGCCAGTCGTGAACATGAACTGGCTCTAAGGGGGATTTGGCATAGATTCCACCTACCTACCACCATCCAACGCTGGAAGAGAACTGCAAGAGACCCATCACAATGGAAACTCGACAATTAATTGGCTAACCCCATCAACCCTGACCACTAAGCCTGCTGACTGGGGAGGATGAGACTTCCCAGCCAACAGCATCTTGGGATGCTGGCTTGGGTAAGACTTCTCAGCATCAGCAGGGAGGGCAGCACTCCCGTATCCTCAGAAAAGCTTCTTTTTTGAATTATTCAGAGGCCTTTTAGAGTCCCCTGTCTTCCCTTTCTTGCCCACCCAGCTTTAAAAGCCAACAAAAGCTGGGCTGACAATTACTCTACAGTCCAGATTTCCTCAAAATTGCAAGATAATAATAATCAAGAGACAGGCTGAGATTTCTATCATTAGCATTGCACAACTGTCCCACAGGGAAATAAAAACAGTTGCTTCCGAGAACACCAGTTTTTGTGGTGAGATCCTGGATTGAAATGACCACAATACATTAATAGTAGCAACAGTGTGGGCTGTGGCCCTGCTGTGGGGTTGTTCTCCTCTCCAATAGCCAAATATGGACAGATGGTTGGAAGATTTTAATTCGTATCTGGATGTCCACTGCACTGGGTCCAGGAATTTGGCAGCTGGAAGAAGAACAGGCCTAAACTTCATGACAGATGGCAGACTCTTTTTGACATGTACTATGACATACCCTCACCACAAACAGCTGGCCAGCTATGCCACACAAATGAATCAGGATTTCATATGACTTGGCAGAAGGTCCTTGTGGGATCTTTAGAGATAACCTAAGGAAGGAGTAATGCAAATCAAGAGGGAAATGCCAGTAGCCCATGTGTTTAGACTAAAATTATTAAATACTTCCAGCCTATATTATTTAATCTGATGCTCACCCGTTTGTTCTCAAGTCAGAAAACTAAATAGACAACACACTCAAGCTAAGAAAAAGCTGATAAGAAACAAAGGCCTCAACTTGCCTGTTCTCCTTTCTCTAGTAACCAAAGACCAAAGCTTGGTCAATAAATAGCAGGGACTGAAATTAAGAGGCAGATAAAATTTCTTTCAACTGAACTTGTCTCCTGGTGACTCCCTGTCCACATCCATACAACCACATCCTGGTGGTTGTTCTCCAGGAACTTGCATTCATATGGATTCTGCCTCTGTGCATTTAGCTCTCAGTCCTTTTACTACTACAGTGACTACCTGTTGGCACGCCTACCCATGAGTTTGTTAAAGCATTGTCTGAAAGTGGTTCCAAATGCAAATCCTGAATAAATGAAGAAATACTTCTTCTTATCTCTCCTCAGTTCCCTACCTATCAGATCTACCGAGGGAATCCACACACAAGACATGAGATAACTTGTAAGGTTATTGTAACAGTCAGAGTTACCTTAGGCTGGAGGATCACCTGAACCCACGTTCAGTGGTTGTACGAGCTAGAGTTTATGAGAGATTCAGAATTACAATAAATGGAGAGAGAACCTTGTCTCTGACATTGGCAGGACCGCTAGCCACATTTGCCACATCTGAATTTCCCTCAGTACATATGGTCTTCTCTTCATTACGTTGACAGACATCTTGACAATTCAGTGAAGAAAAATAGTCCTCATGCTAAGTGGCTTTGGCTTATGAAATTGATTTTTTGACCTGGTGTAACAATTTTGTTAACATCCGAGGGAAGGGTATGGAATATTCTCGGCCTCCACAGATTCCTCCCCATCCTTGCTTAGCAAGTCTACGTTTTTTAGGCTCAAGAAAGGGAAGGCATAAAAACCAGAAAGGGTGGGGTGGGGAACAAACAAATGGTGAGATGAAATAGATGCAGTTTATGATTACAAACACATTGCCCAACACACTTCAGTAGGAAGCTTTGAGAGCACCGTAAGACACAGGATAACCTTTTGCCCCAAGAAAGAATTTACACGGAATAATAATAAAAATTGTACTACGTTTAAGGCCAGGGTAGGTGCTGTGCCTCACCTTCTGCTTTTTCCCTCTGTTATCATGGCCACGATCCAAAACTTGCTTTACATTTTCATCACACGGGATCTTGAGCGCTTAACTCTGTGCAGGCCTGTGACTCATCTGTTTATATGTTCCAGAATCAGGAGTTTTCCCTAGCAAACTCTTGGCTCTCCCTGGCAGAACAATCCATTTCCCATTTCTTTGTTTGCTACTACTGGATTAGGTGCCCTCTGGGCAGAAAGGGGGGGGTAAAAAATGAATGAATAATAAAACAATATCAAAATCTTTCCACTGGCAGTAGTAGAGCCCCCCACCCCACTCCAAAACTCTTGTTTTTCTTAATGGATTAAGTGTGATTTTTTGTTGTTGTTGTTGGTTGTAATACTTTTGTACTGATTTTGCACCATTTTAATTCTGTTCACTGGTCAAAGCATGGCAACGCACGGAGGCATCTATGTTTAGTCATTTATAAAATCCCCGGCTTCACAAGGCGTCGACTGATGACAGTCGTGTCACATGAGTTGCTTCAAAGGAAGGCATTAGTCATAATGCCAGCCTTTCCATCTCAGGTCCCAGGCCATCCGAGGGCTGCCATGAATGTACACCGACCTGAACCCAGGTCAAATCTCTTCCATATTGGAGGGGGTGGACCTTCCCTCAGATTCTCTGGAATGCCAAACCAGTTTGGGAAACCAGCATTAACAAAAAGGACAAGAGTAACTGGGATTCACTGGGTTGGCTGCCCAGAGCGTAAAAGCACCCAACACCTGCCTTTAAGATCGGCCATACCGCCTGAGCTGTGATGTTCCGGGCAGTATGGATAATAAAGATGAAAATGCGGTAAAGAGAGAGAGCTCAGCAGCCAGGGTGCAAGCTATAATAAACCATAATTTGCAGGTTTGATTCTAAATCAGTGAAGATCTTAGTCATTTCAGCAGCTATTTTTAATATAAATATTTAACATTTTCCCCAAACAGCCTCCAAACATGCCCACATACTGAACTCCCATTAATTACTGTTGTTAAATGATTTTCACCACACCCACTTTCTTCCCAGAACCCAAGATAGCAGGATTAGACTTGGAGCATGACCTTGGGTCTTAACGAAATTTAATTAACGCGCACAGCCAGCTCAAGCACCCCACGGAATCCAACAGGCGAACCTTTCAAGCGCTGCACCGCACCTCCCTCCACGTGGCGAGTGGGCGCTCTCTTAAAACGCTTATAGCGATGCAGGTGACTAACTGCATTCTGGGTCGTGCCCCAAATTCACTCCGTTTGGACCATAAAGAGGTTTTACAGAGAAAACAGAGCCACGGTTCGGGCATGTATACGCAGGACTGGGGAGTCTGGGTATCTCTGGAGGGGGCCAAGGAATGGAGCAGCTGCTTCTCACTTCATAGCTGAGAAGCTATCAGAAAGGATCAGACCCGCAACACTGAGGTTATGCTGGTGGTCAACAGCGAAGGCAACAGCTCAGCTCTTTCCTGCCCACCACAATACTGTAGAGAGCCTTGGGGTACATAGGGAAATCAGTATCACCTTGGGCTAGCCCAGTGTTTCTCAACCTTGGCAACTTGAAGATGTGTGGACTTCAAGTCTCCAAGGTTGAGAAACACTGGGCTAGATGAAACATTTTGTGACACGGAGGTGATGAAGTGTAAGGATGAAGCCCTTTCCTCAGTGTTTCAAGAGGACATTCTTCTTCCTTTGGCAGAAAACGGGCCTTTGTGCACGGCAGTAGTGAGCAGGGGTGGAGGACGGGAATGTTGTTTTGCAAACTTGCTTTGCTTTGCACAACCTTCAGAGAAGCTAAAAACCACTTCAAAGATTAATACAGCATACTACAGACCTTCTCAAGTGGCCAGCAGTCCAAGAAGGAACTGGCTTCCACAGTTTCCACAAGGGTCTTCTAAGGAAGTACCTGCACTGCCAGAAACCCTTTAAGGGCAGCAGAGATGTGAGCAGGCACAAATGCACCAATATTCCTCAAATAAGGGTCTCAAAGAAGGGGAAGGATACAGCTTTTTGCCAGCTTCCCAAGCTATATATTGTCCTAACACAGATTTCTAGAAAGGGTTGTCTGTTCTACTTGGTTCAAAAGAAGCTCCTATCTACTGGCTTCACTGACAGATCAGCTTCCCACTACAAGAGTTGAAAAAAATTCAGGTTAATGCCCCTTATCATCTTCTACTGTATCTCCAATGCTACTGATGTCTTAAGCAACTCTAGCAGGCTTTCTGCCAAAGGAATTAAAAAAATGAATGAAAAGAAACCTCTAGGATGGCCAGTAATGTGGACATTGTTCCCAGATTAATTTTGGTGGAAAGCCAAATGATTTCCCCTTTATTTGGAGAATTGTAATCCATCTTGTAATCATATCAAAAGATTCCCACTAGCCTCTAAGCACAAATAACGAGCATTAACTGCCGAAACGGGTTTTCTAGCCCCGGAGAAGTATTCTTTCCCCGTTCTGACAGACCCAATTTCAGACTGGTCAATACAGAAGCTGTGCTGAGTGGCCAAAACAATTATTTGAGCTTCAGAATGTTTCCAAAGAACGACTGAGCTCCTTATAAAAAATACCATCCAGAACCCTTGGGCAGG